GAATAGTTCCTTCCCGGGAGTTAGACAATCAAATATAATTGCTCTTCTTAGGTAGTAATTATTTTGAATTGGGTTTTTCTAGATTAGAATGCGATTAAACAATATTTCCTATGGGCGTACCTAGGTTTATTAGCTTAATTAGGGGTATTTAACGGTCGTACCTTAATTACCTATACTGTAAGGAAAAATTGGTTGTCAGAGCTTGTTGATAACTATAACCAATTTATTGATAGTTTAATAAGAACTAAATTTATTCAATCAATGTTAAAACACAAGTATCATAACTGCATCATCCCTTGAGTCGGGCATCCCCTTATTAGCTAGTTCTCCATTAATTTAATTGCTTTGTTATTTTATTTTCATTAGATAATAAAAGAAAATTCCCCCTTTTATTTACTGCATTAGAATACGAAAGATTGAATCACACAATCCTTGTGGAGACGATCCCTTCCCCTGTATTACATTAAATTGTGATCACGGAATATGTGAAATATTTGATTGACCGTGCGACAGGTCAATTTTTTAAGGTAATATCACTATCGATTGCAAACTTTGAAGATTTGGGATTAGGACACCGTAATCTATATCCTTTCACTTTAAAAGCATAACCAAGGAAAATGCATTTCTTAGCCCTAGGCTCCAATTTTCCTTCATTTACATGCATATATGTTGAACACCCAAAAATCTTTAAATTAGAATAATCAGCAGGAGTACCTGACCAAACTTCTTCAAGAATTTTGAAGTTGAGAGAAGAATTTGGAGAATGATTGACAATGTAGGCAGCCATGTTGATCGCTTCAGCTCAGCCCAAAAATCCTTAGTCAATCCTGTATTGGAGATCATACATCTTGTCCTTTCCAAGAGCGTTATGTTCATACGTTTAGCCACGCCATTCTGTTGAGGTGTCATCCTGAATTGTGCGATGCCGAAAAATTTCTTCTTTCTTGCAGAACTCAAAGAACTCTCTCTGCAAAATTCCAAGCCGTTATCGGTTCTCAGCCCCTTGATTTTTTTCCTGTTTGCTTTTCAATCAAAAATTTCCACTATTTGAAAGTTCGAAAAACATCATTCTTATTCTTAAAAAAATATACCCAAACCTTTTTAGAGTAGTCATCAATAAAAGTCAGCACATACCTGACACCACCTTTAGATGGAACACGAGATGGACCTCAAAGATCAAAGTGGATATAGTCAAGTGTACATTTCATCTTGTCACTTGCTGGTGACTTGAAACTCACTATTTTCTGTTTTCGGAATATGCAATGGTCACAGAACTAATGTCAAGTTTGGGATGTCGCAACTCAATATGGAGGCCATTTTTGTCCAATGTAAAGTTGTTTTGGCTATCCAGGGTATTGAAAAAATGCCCAAGGATATGGAGAAGTCTAGAATTTTTTGAGCTGGATAAGAAGGCCCGTTCGAGCATTATCTTAAATCTCTCTTATGAGGTTTTGCGGGAGGTTGCTACGGAGACTTCGGCTAAGGCAATGTGAGATAAGCTTAAGGCCTTATACATTAAGAAGTTTATTGAGAATCGTCTTTACCTAAAGCAAAGCCTTTATATGCTTTGAATGGAGGAAGGTACATCATTATGCTCCCATCTTGATAATTTTGATTTGATTATTATGGATTTGGAAAATATTGATTCTAAGATAGATGATGAGGATAAGGCGTTGTTACTTTTGTGCTCATTACCCCAATCTTTTAAGAATTTTCTTGATACTATGATTTATGGAAAAGAATTTATCTTTTATCAAGAAACCAAGTCTGCCATGAAATCTAAGGAGCCAATAGATAGAGATATCACTAGAGCAAATATTGGGATTAATGCTGAGAGTCTAGTTGCTAGAGGGGGATCATATAAGAGAATATATGACAATAGTAAATCTAGATTGAAATCTAGACATCAGAATATAAAGTGTAACTATTGTCATAAGATGGGGCACATTAATGTTGATTGCTTTAAATTGGAAAATAAGCAAAAGGGAAAATCGGTTGAAAAGAAAGATAACACTGTTGAAGCTAATGTTGCTGTTGATGATAGTGAGAGTAGTGTTTTTCTTGTCACTCATGATAGGGTGCAAGCTACAGATGAGTGGATTTTGGATACAAGATGCTTTTATCACATATGTCCCAATAAGGATTTGTTTTCTACTTATAATTCAGGCAACGGAGGAACTGTCTTAATGGGCAACAACGTTAGTTGCAATGTTATGGGAAAGGGAACTGTTCGTATCAAGATGCATGATGGAATTGTGATGAAACTTACTAATGTTACGCATGCCCCTGATTTTAAAAAATATCTAATCTCTTTGGGGACACTTGCGGCACTTGGTTGCAGGTACACAAGTCAAAATGGTATTCTGAAGATTTTCAAGGGCTCTCTCATAATTATGAAACGTAACAACTCTAGAGTTAAGTGTGTTTGCTCAAGAGTAATTTGAGGATGGATGACTCCCTGAGAAGTCTTTCAGCGTGCACGTGAATGAAGACAAAAGCACGCTAGAAAGAGTCGTGTTGACTTATGGAGCCAGTGTGCAATCCCGACATGCTCGGCTTTGCATCGCTTGTGGGTCAGGGTGTCACAGCTGGTATCAGAGCCAACCTGCAATAGTTTACAGTCGTTGACCAGACTGGTGACGGGCCTGGCAGTTGATGATTCTTGAGGTGCAAAGAGGACATTGCATTCTTAAGTGGGGGGGGGGATGTAATACCCCCGTAGTTGGACCGGTGCTAGGCCAACTCCCATGGATGAGCTGGTGTCAGGCCATCCGATGTTGAATATAGATTAAATAGATTGAATAGACTACTTATATCAAAATGTGAACATTGATTTTTGGAAGTCATACTGAAAGAACTCTAGAGTTAAACGTACTTGATCTAGAGTAATTTAAGGATGGGTGACCCCTCTGGGAAGTCATCTAGGGTGCGCTTGAGTTTTCAAATGAATTTCGGTGTCTCAAATGAATTGGTCAAGATTTCTATTTATAGGGGAGGGGTGGTTTCGGCTTTTTTTTAGATCATGTCATGTGGTGTGTCCCGATTGACCAGCGGAAAGAATTTATATTCCTTCATTTTTCATTAGAAACTGTTTTCTATTTTTTAAGGATTTAATTGTGAGTCTCTCTTTCTCGTCAAGATCTTTATATCATTTTCTTTTTTCGAAAGATACTAATTTAAATACTTCATTTATTGACGGTATTAATTTATTTTGTTTCTAAATTTATTATGGTTCTATTTATGCACATATATTTGTACAATATCTTCTATTTTAAGCATATTTTACATTAATGGTTGATATTTATTGTACAAATATTAACATATGTGAATAATTAAAAATCACATATTTATTTTTATCGGTTTTTTATTTTTTCCAATGTATGTGATATTTAATTTAATTCATGTATTTAATTTCTAATGCCTACAACTATGAAAATATATATATTTTCGTATGAAAATAGAATTTTGTAGAATGTAACTAAATGGTTTTTTCTACGAAAATTTAATTTTGAAGAAAAAAATTGTTTGCTACAAAATCTGATTTCATAGCAAAAATTTTATAGATACAAAATATAATTTTAATAAAATGAATAATCCAAACCTTAATTCATCAAAAGAATCAATACAAAAAAATACAACCATAAAAATTATAAACAAATCATCGTCAAGAGATAAAAATAAATAAATGCTAAAAAATTCATTTTTGTACAAAAAGTTAAATGGAAAAATCTAGAATATCTTACTCAAACTAATTGTTCAAATACAACCATTCAAAATTCGGAATTAACATATCAGTTACTTGACTAATCAATATACATGGCTATAAAATTGTAAAGCGAATTGCATAACTTATTTTTGGTAACAAAATTAAATATTGTAGTTGAATAACACATTTTAACTAAGAAGAAAAGTTATAGGTAATAATATAAATACATCCAATAAATAATAAAAATTCAGATTAAAATGTTCGCAAATACTATCTCAAAGTGAATTTAATATTTAAGTATATATATTAATAATATTTAATTTATATAATATAGATATTAATATATATTTTCAAATATAATAATATATAGAAATTTGATTTCGTTAGATTAATTGAAAAATAAAAATAGTACAAATTGAAACTCAATTTTGAACTGAATAATATAAATATTAATATATATTTTCAAATATAATAATATATAGAAATTTGATTTCGTTAGATTAATTGAAAAATAAAAATAGTACAAATTGAAACTCAATTGAACTGAATAAATATTTACTTGTATTTGAACCGAATTTTCTCCGCTAATATGATCTTTAGTTTGATTTAGTTCACTTAGAAATTCTATGATACAATTTGAATATCTTGAGCACCTCTGGATGTACATTTTCTTAAAGCATATATTTTTTTTTATATAGTTGTCGCTCAAAATATTTGAGCGGCTTGTCAGATCAAGCATGTCGAAAATCGGGTGAGTTCTTCGACTTCCTCCAAAAAAGGATCCGAAACCGTGTCCCCAAAAGAAATAAATCAAGAACAGAGAAAAATGGATAAAAATTAAAAAAAAAAAAAAAGAAAGGAAGAAAATTAGAGTGAGGTAACAAGGAAAACGGAAAGAAAGCACAGGGAAAAAGTAAAGGAAAGCAAAACAATAAAAAGAAAGGGAAAAATTGGCCGCAATAAGGAAAAAGCAATGAGAATAAATTGTATTTAATTTTGAGAGTAAAAATAATCATTTGTATATCTCCTCCCCTCCAATAGACCACATAAAATATATATGTAAAATCTCACCAAATCTAACAAACTAAGATTCTATCTTATCCATATCTCATCATTATCCGAATCCAGTTAGATATTATTTTATTTGGGATAACAAATTGCTCCCCACAAAAGTGTCGATCTGATCAAATGATTGATATTCTTCTATGAATTTTTTATCCAATCGATATTTTTGAAAATATTTGATTATTTGTCTTCATCGTCATTTATCTCTTTGGGTGGTGACGTCTTCCATTCATCGTCTCATATTGATGGATAATATCTTTTCTAAGTATTTGCCATTAATAGCCACTTTCAACTCGTCACCTTCAGGGTACATTAGCCTATATGCTCCTCGAGATGCTTTGGCTGTGACAATAAAGGGACCTTCCTAATTAGCCGACCATATTCCCCAATCTCGATCCTTCGGTGCTTCGGGCAAAATTGCTTTCCAAACAAGGTCGCCTTCTTGATAAGTAATTGGTCGAGCCGATTTATTGTATTCTCTCTCAACTTTCTTTTTCTTTATACGAATATGATCCAATGCGTGCAAACGTTCTTCGGGGGTTGTTTCTAATTCCTGTAATAATAATCGGTCATTTTCAATCATAGGGAGCTCAGCTTGCTGCACGGTTCGTAATGATGGAACTGTAATTTATAAAGGTAGCACCACGTCATGCCCATAAGTCAAACGAAATGGTGTGCTTCCCGTGACCGATGATTTTGCATTCCGATACGTTCATAATAACTCTTCAAGTGTATCATGCCATCCCCTCGGATTTTCCTCTAACGATTTTTTAATCATCGAAATCAACGTTTTATTACTCGCCTTAGCCTGTCCATTAATTGGGGATAGTACAACGAGGAATGGATTAATCGTATGTCATATTGAGCTACGAAGGATTGCACATTGGCGCATAAATACAGTCCCTTGATCAGTCGTGATGGACTAAGGGATGCCAAAACGATGAATAAGTTTGTGTTTAATAAATCGAATCACCTGCGCTTGCTTAACTTGCGCCAAAGGGACTACTTCGACCCATTTAGTAAAATAGTCGATCGCCACCAAAATAAAAAAATGTCCTTTGGAAGAAGGATATATTTTACCAATAATGTCTATTGCCCATCATCGGAATGGCCATGGTTTAATAATTGAATGCAACTCTTCAGCGGGTACTCTTTTCATGGGACCATGTCGTTGGCATGCTTCGCATCCCCTAGATAGATAACACAATCGCGTGATATAGTAGGCCAAAAATATCCATACTTGAAAATAGTCAAATGCATAGCAGCACCGGACCGATGTGCGCCTGCAATGCATTTGTGAATCTCGGCCATAACCTTTTTTGCTTCATCACGGCCCAAACAACGAGCCAATGTTCCGTCGGGGCGTCGACGATATAGATCTTGATCGACCAAGGTATATCTTAGAAGCTTCTCTCTAGTCCCCTTTGAATTGATCTGATTTGGATCCATCAATGCATCAATGCATCAATCTAAGGCTGTCTCCAATCATCCTGCTTGTTGGTTTGGATGCAGTTAATACGAACAACCCCTTTTTTCGTTTAAATCCTGACGCTTGATGTGCAAGATCGTTCGCCTCGCTGTTCTCCTCACGAGGGATCTCTTCTAATATTTGGAACTGTTGTAGGAGTGCTCGTACCTCACGCAAGAGACCGATAAGATGTGATTCTCGGCATTTAAATTTGCCCAAGGCTTGTCGAATAATAAGCTGCGAATCGCCTTGAATATATATAGCTGTGGCATTCTTTGATTCCAAAAAATGCAAGGCGAGCAGTAATGCTTCATATTCAGCTTCATTGTTAGTGCATACTTTAGGAAGTTGATTTGTGAAACACCAAACTCCGCCGTCGGGGCTTGTAACAACAACCCCTGCACTGGCTGCATCGGACGTACTTGAACTGTCAAAAGTGACTCGCCATGATTCCAATCCAGCATATTCAGCTGAAATATCTGATGTTTGGATCATTTATGGATGTTCGGCTAAAAAGTCAGCAATAGCTTGCCCTTTTACAATGTTCAATGGTTCATAGGTGAGTGCCAAGGATGAAAGTTTCACAGCCCATTTGACTAATCGGCTACGCAAAACAGGGCGACTTAAAAGGTAGCAAAGAAGATCGAATTTGTACAAAAATTTTGTCTCAAATGGTACAATATAATACTCTAGCTTCGTGCAAACATAATACAATGATAGACATAATTTTTCAATCGATGAATACCTGGTCTCTGCATCATTCAACGTCTTACTGAGATAATATATAGCACGCTCCTGCCCCCCGGCATCATCTTGCGCTAGTAAATCGTGTGCGCTAGTAAATCGTGTCTTCGGTAGCCGCAATATATAATTTTAATGGTCGTCCGTGGATGGGTGGAGTTAAAACCGGTGGTGAGGCCAACGCATTCTTAATCTATTGGAGAGTCTCTTGTTGCTCTGCCCCCCATTCGAAGGGTTGTTTATTCCCTCGTAACAATAATATCGAGAAGGCTTTCATCTTCCCTGCTGCATTGGTGATAAAACGTCGCAAGAAATTAATTTTTCTCATCAAACTTTGAAGTTCCTTGATGTTTCGTGGAGGTCCGAGTTGTTGGACTGCTTTTGCTTTATTTACATCGACTTCGATCCCTCGATGATGAACGAGAAAACCCAAGAATTGCCCAGCTCGGACACCGAACGCGCACTTAGTCGGATTCATTTTGAGATCATGTTGCCTCATGCGAATAAAGGATTGTCTAAGGTGTTCCAAATGATCATCAACACTTTGAGATTTAACTACTACATCATCAATGTAGACTTCCATGGATGTACCAATTAAATCATGAAAAATAGCATTCATAGCACGTTGATATGTTGCTCCGGCATTCTTTAAACCAAATGGCATTACGATCCATTCAAAAATTCCAATTACACCCGGGCATCTAAAAGGTTTCTTGTGTGCATCTTCTTCGGCCAAATAGATTTGATTTTAACCCCAGTAGCCGTCCATGAATGACAAAAATTCATATCCCGACGTGGCATCGATAAGCATGTCGGCTATTGGCATCACATATTCATCTTTAGGGGTTGCAAGATTAAGATTTCTGAAATCAATACACATTCGTAGCTTTTCCTTTTTTTCCATCACCGGAACAACATTAGAAAATCTGTTGGTTATTTTGTTGTTATTGGATTTATTTGAAGATAAGGAATGTTGTATCGAGCTATCTTCGGGAAGGGTCGTGTGGGGTGAGCGCTCGAGAAAGCCTATACGATATTGAACGAAAATATTGTATGAAAGAAGAAAAATGAGAGAAGAGAGAATGGGAGAGGGAGAAGCAAAACAGTGACAGAAAGTAACTTGTGAAATATGCAGAAATTTTCTCAGGTCTCCTTTCTCCAAAATCCTGGAAATTATATTTTTCATACCCAAATAATCTCCCAACCTTTTACTTGCTCGATTTTTTTGCCTAAAATTTGGATGTTGCTTTGTTTTATCCTCGTACTAATTTCGTGTAACCCGGGGCATTAATAGGGTCGAAATATCGTATAAGGAAAGCGAATCTATGCGACTCAAAGTATATCCAAGATAGTGGATACCCTTTCTACTTATTTTCATTAAATCCGGATTATTTCTCCAACAATCTTATACGATATTTTCAAACGATCATGGATGGAAATACTTTGGCGGACATGAAAATTAAATTTGGAAAGATGTCCAAATTTGAGAATATTGGAATTTATTATTTTAATGATCAATTTGTTAGAATTAATTTTGAGAATAAAATCGTGTGCATTCAAAATATCAATTTAAGAGAATAAAAAAGATTGCATCCGGGAAATAATGCAAATATTATTTTATTCAGTTTGGGGTGGCAGCCGGCAATATATGTTGGCTTCACTGCAGTGCAATTTATAAACGGTCTTTGAATGATCGAAAATTTGGTGCAGCCCAATGCAAGGCTGATTGGAAGGAATGCGGCATAGAGCATACCCATTCCTGAAATTCTTGTATGGAATTTGGAGACTGCGCTGTATTTGATTGCCGTGGTTTGTGAGGAAAAAAAAAAAAAAACACCATGGAAGGGAGTATGATTAAAATGGTTATTTGTTTCGAGTTTCTGTATGAACGATACTGTGGAGGTGAATATAATTCTCAAATTAAAATTTACATGAGAATTATTGATCAATATTGGCAAAAAAGTGCAATAATCCTTCGAGTATGGAATTAAAATTTCAACGGTTCAATATTATATATATATATATATATATATAGATGTATGTATGAATATTATAAATGAAAACTATATTTGTTGTACCAAATTGTCATGTAACTAATTTGAGAAAATTATTTGATTGTTTGCAAAACACATGGAATCAATTTTGGTGTTCCTACAATTAATTTTGTATAAATTAATTGAAAGGTTGGTTCGCAATTCTTTTACGAGAATTGTTGATTAGTGATTATTTGATATATTTTTAAAATTGTCAAATGTAATTTGACTTCAATTAAATGTGGCGTACGTCAAATGCTTTAACAATAATAATAATTATTGGGATTGTTATTTGCGCACAAAATTGAAAGTTATTTGTCGCTCAAAATATTTGTCGGCGGCTTGTCGGATCAAGCCTACCGAAAATCAGGTGAGTTCTCCGGCTTCTCCCAAAAAGGATTCAGAACCGTGTTCCCAAAAGTAATAAAATCAAGAATAGAGAAAAATGAACAAAGATAAAATGAGAAGAAAACAAGAAAATCAGAGGAAGGTAATGAGGAAAAAATAAAGAAAGCACAAGGAAAAAGTAAAGGAAAGCAAAACAATAAAAAGAAAGGAAAAAAATTGGGACGCAGGAAGGAAAAACAATGAGAATAAATTGTATTAAATTTTGAGTGTAAAAATAATCATGTGTATATCTCCTCCCCTCCCATAGAAAACATAATATATATATATATACACGCAAAATCTCACCAAATCTAACTAACTAAGATTCTATCTTATTCATATCTCATCATTATCCGAATCTAGTTAGATATTATTTTATTTGGGATAACAATAGTAATTAAAGAAAATATATGTTTGGAACCACACAAGAAATGTGTCTAATTATGTGCTACAAAATATAATAGACCCCGTAATTTGTTGTTTTGGTAACTTGTTATCCAAAATTTGTACACCGTCTGTCCAAATTTAAAGGGCCATTTGTTTTTTTTGTTTTTTTTTTCTATTTGATTAGTAAGTAATAATATTTTATCGGTTTACAAAAGAGTTTATGGTTTGATGTTTTTGCCCTTACAAAGTACATATAAAGTAATGATATTTTCGTAATTTGTATAAAATAGGAGTATTTTGCTATTTGTATATAAAGTATTTTCTATTTATATCTAAATCACTATTGAAATTACACTAAAAAAACCAAAAAGACTGTTATTCACATCATCCAAATTGTTATAAAAGAAGTATTGTACATTAAAGGTATTTTTATTTTGGTTGATTAAGGTGGATTATATTATTTTATCAAATATAATCACTTGTTTACTTTATTAAAAACGAGGATTTATTAAGTTTGATGTAATAATACACTAATTAGGAATAATTAATCATAAACAAATTTATGAGATTTATTTAGCTCAAATAATATTTGTACTAAAAATTATTATTACCATATATTTAATTGACTAAAGTAAACATGATATTAATAAATCTATTAATTTTATTATAATCATATTCTACAAAGTAAACACAACTTAAAGATAAAGTATATATTGGTTAGTATAGTAGAGACTAAATCGTAATTTAAAGATTAAGTTGCAAATATTATAAAATAAATTAATCAATAAAAATAAAAAATAAAATACACATGTCATCTTTTAATGGGATGGTATAGAAGGGATAGAGAAGAAGAAAGTAGGGTGAGTGAAGTTATTTTTTCAAAAAAGAAATCCATATATGAAAAGATTCTATTATTGATTTATTATTTTTGTAACCTCATCTTGCTGATATTCTTCATACATATCCAAAATATTATACAAATGCTTATCCAACATACACTCCCAACATTTAAAAAATATTACCAAAATAATTCAAATATTACAACGTAATAACTAATATGTATATAATTATTACCACAATACCCAAAAATATTACGAATCCGTAACAACTGCAATCCCATAATCCAATTGTACCACATTTTTACACTTTACTTTGTAACTCCTCAAAATCTCATCATATCTCTATAAAAAGGCAAATTGGTATGCATAGAAAGTCACATCTTTCTCATAAAATTTGTTTCGAGAAGAAAAAGAATGACGATGAAGCGAGTTAATCCGTTCGCTATACTATTCCTAATGGCGGCACTGACGATTATGGTTCAAACAGCAGAATGTTCGGATTGCTATAGGGACTGCATTATTAGGTGTGCCACCCCTTATAGCCAAATACTTTGTGTTCGAGCATGCCAGCAATTATGTCACATACCGCCGGCAGCTCATCAAGAGGACTCCAAGAATGTCGAGAATACTGTCAACGCATAGCTTCGAAGAAATTATGGGAGATGGGAAGTGCCAGAAGGTTGATAGAGGTTGTTTATGTACAAAATAATATGTGACTTGTTTGAAATAAATCGATGATGGGATTTTGACTGAACTTTTTCTTTGCATATTGTTTATGTAAAATTGTATTTGTAGTTATAGCTATTGGCACTTTATTGTGCTCAAACAAATCCTTAAAATGTCAGAGAATAATAATAATTAGAAAATAAAATGGAAAAATTGATGCAAATATTCTAAGGCAATTCAGGGTTTACTAATCAATGGGACGAGTGATTACAAATTGATTTTGAGACTGGTTGTTGCGTTAGATGAATGTGATGCAAAAGCCTACCAAAGGAAGAAACCTCTGGAGTTTGTTTGTCCAATACTTTTTATCCGATACAATTTTTAATATATATAGTATACTTATTTAATTATCTCAAACAAAGTAATATTTAATACAAAAAATTAACTTTTTATTATGGACACAATTTTTCATACCTTACATAAAAATAGTACCTTAAATTAACACACTAAAAAAACATGTATGGCTCCAAGATGAAGACTGCATGCAGAGTAAGTATAATTTCAAGAATTCAATACCTATGTTAAGATATGTAAAAAAAAAAACCATTCTATGTTTGAATAAATGAATATCAAGAACACCCA